ACGAAGTGGCAATTAGTAGAATATGGAAATTGGAGAAACCAGGCTGTATAATAAATGTTGGGATTTTATTTTTTAAAAGAGGTCATTTTTTAACGTCAGGTGAAAAGATTCCCAGACAATAACCTTATAAACATTCATGTATACTATTTATATGACTGTCTATCATCAAAAAGTTGAAAAATTAGAATGTTCAATTTTATAATTGGCACCGAAAAGCTGCAAATTCCACAAACTATGTTATTTTACAACGGTAAACTGTCGTAACTTACCATTGGATCAAATGGTTTCCCCACTGTCTCCACCTGGACAACACCAACGGATACCAGAATCTCCACGAACTGCTTATATATGCTCTGATAACTGTTATTAATCTTCTCCTCTCCCTCTGTTTCCGCCTTTATCTGGGCTTTAGCTCTCTCGAAGTTATCCAAAACGGGCAACAGTTTTTCCACGACTTCACTCTGTGCATTTGATACCAGTGAAAGCCGTTCTCTCTCTGTTCTCTTTCTGAAATTGTCAAAGTCAGCACTAATTCTAAGAATCCGATCCTTCACATATGACAATTCTTCAGATAAAGTGACCACTTTCCTCTCAAGTTCAGTTTTTTCATTTTCTATGGATTCAAGGAACGATTCAAGATCAGCAACTTTCATCTCATCATTATTTGCTAAAGCCTCTCTATACAAATTTAATGAAGCTACAACAGCTGAAGCGGGTTCTTCAGCAACAGTATCATCATTCTCACTAGCAGGGTCAACACCAACAGCACCATCTAGATTTCCCTATTAATTTAACAAACTTAGAAAATAAATTTTTCGATAGAAGTAGAGATATATGTAATTGGAAATCAACATCTAAATCTATTCCAATAGATTTCAAAAAAATATGGTGATTAAAATGCAACCTCGCTGAACCAAACAATTTCAAAACAAGCCTATGTCGCAAGATGGAAACGGGTATTTGTTAGCTAATGAGGGAAATGGCATCTTTGCCTTTCAAGGTCTAACAATTGTATTACGAAAAACTAGAGATTTTAGAAACTTTGTAGTAAAATTGATATGGCAAAA